TGCTGACGGATTGCTATGTGTACCTGATCCGGAAAGGTATCTCATCCCTCAGTGGCAAGGGAGGGAGGCTCCATCCATGGCCTGTCCATGGATTGGGCCATCATTGCCTTCACTGCCGGTTCCCTTGAGTCCCATGGTCACAGCAGGGAGCTCAGATTGACTTGTCCCCCAGGAGCCCGTGGCTCTGTGCTGCCTGGGCCATGGCTTGGTTTGCAGGTGCATCGCTGCTGCTGCTGCTGCTGCAGAGGGGGTGCTTTGCCCCCCTTCATGTGGCTCTCTGTGTCTGTGCCAGGGGCAGCGGAGAAGCCGTACATGGTGGAGGAGGCCGTGTCCTACAACGAGCTGGATTACATCTCGGTGAGCCCAGCCAGGGGGGCAGCTCTCACCTGTGCAGGGGTGAGGGTGTGTTTGTGTCCATGGAGAGTGTTCTGGACAGTGAACCTTTGAGACTGGGAGAGCTGGCAGTGATGCCCCTTCCAGTGCCACCTGTGTGGGTGCTCATGTCTTTGCATGAGCAGCAGAGTGACCACTGACCCTCTCCCTGGGGCTAGAAGCCCAGTCAGCCCTGCTCTGTTGCCCCTCAGCCTGTGCCTGGCCTTCCTAACCATTCTGTGTGGCACAGGTTGGGCTGGATCAGCAGACAGTGACCCTGGTGTGCACCAACCGGAGGAAGCAGTTCCTGCTCGACACTGCCGACGTGGCTCTCACCGAGTGAGTGGGGAACTGGAGCGTGGAACTCCAGAATTCTTGGACTTGGGGACAGTGGGAGACTCCAGAGACAGCCCTTCATGACAGTCCTGCCACCCGTGAGGGGGTTGGGGGCTGGTTTGATGCCACTGGCTGAGCCCAGCTGATAGCTGGAAATGCCAAGGATGAGCTCCGAGGCACGTCCCCATTTCTGTGTGTGTGCTGGCAGCTCAGGGAGGTGACCATCAGGTCATATGAGCATTTGTGCTGGGATGAGTGACCACCTCCCAGTGTCCCATGTTTCCTTTCTGGAGTTCAGCCTTTGCAGCCTCCCATCACCTTTGGTCTGTAGGTTGATTTTGTGACTCTGTGGTCTGGAAAAGACCAGAGGCCCACGGTTAAGGGGAGCCCCTTGGGCACCGGAGTGTATGGGGGAGATGAGGGCTGTTTGCCCCAGCCTTGTCAGAGATCTCTGCCTCCCTCTCAGGTTCTTCCTGGTCTCCTTGAAGTCAGCCATGATCAAAGGGTGCCGGGAGCCCCCTTATCCCAGTATCCTCACGGATGCCACCATGGAGAAACTGGCACTTGCCAAGTTTGTAGCACAGGAGTCCAAGTGTGAGGTGAGTTTGGATATCACCTCCATCACTGCAGGAGATGAAGGCTCACAGGAGACTCGCTTGACTTCTCCTGGTTCTTACAGGCCTGCAACGTGGTTGTGCGTTTCTACGGCCTCGTTCACTGGGAGGATCCCATGGATGAGGCGCTGGGACCTGCCAGCAGCAGCTGCTCCTCTGCAGAGCCCGCTGTCACCAAGGACGGCGTCCTGCACTACAAGGCAGGCACCTCCTACCTGGGCAAGGAGCAGTGGAAGCCCTGCTTTGTGGTGCTCAGGTGGGCACTGGGGCTGTGGGGCAGGGCTGGGGTCAGACAGGGCCCTTGGGAGAAGGTGCTGGGAGCAGTTTGCTGCCCGAGAGCTCCCTGGGAGGTGGAGAGGACTCATCTGCCCACCTAAAAGGGCCAAGTCACTGGTTTGGTGCTAAAGCCACCGTTTGTGGATGCCCAGCAGCAGGAATGTGACCCCACAGGGCTGTGGGGGTGGAGGGCAGGGCAGGGTTGGCTGTGGGACCAAAGGCAGGGGATACCAGAGCTGGGCTGACTCCAGTTACCCCCTCTCTCATCTTCCCAAACGGCAGCAACGGGATCTTGTACCAGTACCCAGATCGCACAGACGTCACCCCTCTGCTCTCCATCAACATGGGGTGAGTGGCTGGTAGGACACCCATGGGGATCTGGGGAGCAGGAGCTGCTTGGGATGTCCAGAAGGGGGTTCCAGGCTGGATCATGACCTGGTCCATGCTGCAGGAATCCCAGCTGCTCATGCCTGGAGGCAGGTGCCCATTTGTTTTGGCTCCAGGGCATGCCACTAGAAATGGGCTCATTTCCTTCCTTGGATGGGGCCTTGGCCTCTGAAGGGTGATGCATCCCTCTGGGAGACCCACTGTGCTCAACTCCAGCTCTCCTGCAATGTCAAGAGCCTGGAGATGGTCCATGGAGCAATCCCAGGGGATGTCATGGATGGGAAATGAGTGTTTGTTGGGAACAGGGGTGAGGTGCTGCCCAGGGAGGGCAGTCAGAGGCTGTTTTCAGGCTCGTGCTGGCCCATCCATCCCTCATCTCCATCCTCCCCCTCTCTCCCAGCGGCGAGCAGTGCGGGGGATGCCGGCGCTCCAACACCACCGACCGGCCCCACTCCTTCCAGGTGATCCTGACGGACCGGCCCTCCCTGGAGCTGAGCGCCGAGAACGAGGAGGACATGGCAGACTGGATGCAGTACTTCTGCCAGGCTGTCTCCAAAGGGGTGAGCTGGGGACAGGAATGGGAAGGGAGCAGGAATGTCTGGCAGGACGGAGCAGGCAGCTTTATCCTGAGCCGGGAGGGTTTCCCCACAGGCCACCCCATGGAGATGGGGCTCCATCGTGCCAGGTTTTACCCCCTTCCCCATCCCACGCAGGTGATCCCCCAGGGCGTTGCCCCGACGCCGTGCGTTCCCTGCTGCCTGGTGCTGACGGACGAGAAGGTTTTCACGTGCCACGAGGACTGCCAGACCAGCTTCTTCCGCTCGCTGGGCACCGCGGAGCTGACGGACGTCACCGCCGTCTCCACGGAGGCTGGCAAGGAGTACTGCATCCTGGTGAGGGCAGGGCTTTGGACCCCTGGCCCGGGGCTGGGCGAGCACCCAGTGCTGACACCTGGCCCCTCTCTCGGTTTAGGAGTTTGCTCAGGACAGCAAGGAGTTCCTGCCCCCCTGGGTCCTGTATTTTAGTTGCACTACGGAACTGGAGAGGTTCCTGTCAGCACTGAATGTCGCGTGGAGGAACATCTACCAGGTGAGCATGTGGGCCTGCCTCGCACCCTCATCAAGTGAGGGAGGGCACAGGGATGAATTTGTCCCTGCAGGGTGAACCCAGATGTCCCACAAAGGGCAGGAGAGCCAGGGAGCTCCTCTGGGTCCATATAATCACAGGATGTGGGATTTAGAGCCTGGCAAGACAAGCCATGAGCACCCAGTGGCTGGCAAGGGGAGTGGGAGGAATGTGGGTCGGCCCCGCTGTCGCCATATCCATGACACAGGCTGCTTGTCCATGTGGATTTGAGGTGGTTTTACAGCAAGAGGGAGACGTGCCTGTTGTTTCAGTTCCCCTCCTGACTCCCCACACCCATGTTTCAGGTCGATCTCCAGCACAAGGCCATTCTGGATGCTGCTGTGAAGAAGAAATGCGAGGATGCCCAGAGCCTCATCGACAGCGCCTGGCAGCGCAGTGACAGCCTCTGCCGGGGCCGGGCTGAGCGGGACCCCTGGTGTTAACCCTGCCCAGGGGAGGACAGCTCACGGGGGCCCATTTTTGGGGATCAGGGCCAATATTGGGCTAACTGGCACCCCAAACCCTCCTGTCATCACTCGGTCCCCACCAGGGCCGTGCCTGCAGCGTGGACCCCGCGCTCTCCACCGAGCCAGGGACATCCAGAATGGTTTGGGGAGCAGCCAGACGCTTCACCACCTGCACCTCCCCCTTGTCCAGCTGCCACGGGGCAAATAATTTGCCTTTCACAGAATAATGTCCCAGTAGTAGTGAGGGAGAGGGTGGGAGCAGAGTGAGCTGGGACGAGCATTGCTGTTCTGGTGGGGAGCAGGACTGAGGACTTGTTCATTTTCGAACAGGGTCGGGGCGAGGTGGGAACATGCATGTTTTGTTGCTCATACAATCACCGCTGTGTTGGGAGGAGGAGTCGGCACCTCCCCGCCTCCTGGAGAGTTCAGCCGGGGCGTCTGGACACCACTGAGCCACTCTCAGCCTGTCCAGGAGATATGAGGTTAAGGAAGAAGGAACAGGGCCAAATATTTGGCAAAAAAATGGTTTTAGGACATCTCAGCGGCCGGTTTGTGGTTTGAATGCTGGCCCTGTGCACTGGGGAGAAGAGATGGAGTCCCACGTTCCTCAGGTGTCCTGAGGGACATTGTCACATTGGTGGCTACCACCAAACACGTCCCCATCTTCTCAGCTCACTGCATCCAAGGCCAGCGAGGACCCATCGCCACTTGCGCTCCACAACGAGCACTTTGGGGCACAGCCCCAGCTTTTAAATAATATTAATAACAATAATAATAACCTGGAGACCTTCTCATGTAATATAAGTTCACGGGGCCTTTTTGTGGGAGGAAACTTACGTGACTGAATGTATATGTACATACATCTGCTTCCTTTTCCCCCTCCCCAAATAAATAGACCTTGGTAACTCAGCCTTGCCCTGTGCCAGATTCTGCCACTGGGGCTGCTGCTCCTCCTGCCATCACTTTGGAGCCTGTGGGATGGCTCTGGGCAGGCAGAAGAGGATTTGGATGAAAAGAGGGGAAGATTTGCACCTCCAGCTCCTCCCTGAACCCCAGCAGTGTTAACCCTGCGGTGGGACACGTTTGTGGCTTCAACCCGTCAGGACACAGAGTCTTCACGCTTTGTCCTTGCTTATCCCTGGATCCAAGAGATATTCCCAGTCCCCTAGATTGGGGAGATCTAGTCCAGTCTAGAAAAGAAAGAAACAGCCATGGGGCCAGCCACCATCATCACCCACTGTCCCCATAAACCCTGCTTGACTTCTGACATCAAAACCAGAATGTTGGGAGATATTGGGACTGGCACAGCCACTGGCAGGGGAGGAGTCTGGGGCATGGGGGTGTTCACACGTCCTGCCCATCAGTCAGCACCGCAGTGGAGGTCCATGGAGGGGGTGCCTGCGCAGCCCCAAAAATAAAAATCCACGGCGGGGGGCGGGACACCGACAGCCCCCACCCCCCGCAGCATTTTTCCGCGGGAAGCTCCAATTTCAAAGCACCGGGAGAAGCGGGCGAGACCCTCTCTGCAAGTTCCCCCCGCCAGCACCGCGGCCACAAGCGCAGCGAGTTTTCCAGGGCTCGTCCTCCTCCCCAGGCTGGCGGGGGGCACTGCGTGCGCCCCCAGAATTCCTCTCCCTCCGTTTCTGTTTGTGTTACCCGCCCTTTTTTCCTTTTTTTTTGCCTGCTTTTCCCTATTTGCGCCGGGGCAGCACCATCACGTGAGACCGGGCCCGGCGGGACGCGGCTGCCGGGGGTGCTCCGGGGTCTGGGGGGGAACCGGAGACGCATCCCCAGGCCCGACCTTTTCCCCACATCCCTTCCCCAAATTGGGGGCTGGACTGGGTGGGGGGTTGGTCTGCAGGAGGCGGCGCTCGCTCTCGCTCCCCCCAGATTTTTTTCCCTGCGGTCGCTCGGGAAGGTGGAGCCTGGGGCCACCCCCGCGGGCAGGTGCCGGATGGCGGCGGGGACCCTCGCCCCCCGCCCTCCCGACTCCCTGCAGGAATTCCAGTACCCCCCCCAAAACAGCCGCCCGGCCGGGGGAGTGCCCCCGGCTACCGACCTGGTGCTGGGGGCCACTGCCGGCTGCTTGGCCTGCTTCCTCACCAACCCGCTGGAGGTGGTGAAGACGCGTTTGCAGCTGCAGGGCGAGCTGCAGCCCCCGGGCACCTACCCCCGGCCCTACCGCGGCGTGCTGCGGGCGGCCGTGGCCGTGTGCCGGGCGGACGGGCTGCGGGGGCTGCAGAAGGGGCTGGCGGCCGGGCTGCTCTACCAGGGGCTGATGAACGGTGTCCGCTTCTACTGCTATTCCCACGCCGAGGACGCCGGCTGGACCGGGTATCCCGGCGGGACCGTGGCCGCCGGGGCCGTGGCCGGGGCGGTGGGAGCCGTCGTGGGCAGCCCCGCGTACCTGGTGAGTGCTGCTCCGCCCCAAGGGGTGTTTTGGGGGTCCCCCCAAAAGGTTCGGCATCTTGGCTGCATCCTATCAATGCTTGGTTCATTCTCTCTTCCGCTGCTTTGCTTCATCCCCCCCCAACTTGATTTGCTTCATCCCCTGCCACTCCCCCCAAAATGTGGGGCTGCGCTGTGCATGCTCTTCCCCTGCTTTCTCCCTCAAATCCCCCTCAGGAAACCAGCAGAGAACTCCCCAGTAAGGAAATTATTCCCAAAATTGTGGGGTTTCCCCTCTCTCATTTTAGAGGGTTTCTCCAGTTTTTTAGGGTTGCAGAGCTCCAGCAGTGGGTCCCTTTGCCCCAGGTGAGAGGGGTAAAAGGAACGGGATTCAAAGTTTGGAGTTTCCACTTGGCTGCTCAGTTGTGTCCCCCACGTCTGTTGGAGGGGCTGAAACTTCCCCTTAAAATCTGCCAAGAAGATGGGGGGACCACAGCCGGTCCCAGTGGGGACATTGGAGTGTTTTGTCACCTGGCATTGTCCCCCCCAAGGTCAAGACCCACCTCCAAGCCCAGACACTGTCGGCCATGGCCGTGGGCCACCAGCACAACCATGAGGTGAGTGGGGACAAGGGTGGGGTGAGGGGACACGGAGGGTTTGGTGGCACCTCCGGGCCCCAGCGGGGACGATGCTATTTTGGTCAGCAGGAATTTAAAGCTGTTGTTTGGCTGCTTGGCCCCGTAATGATGCTATAAATAACAGTGTGAGAACAGAGGGGGTGTGACAGGCACGTGGGGCTGCGATACCGAATCCGGAGAATCCAGACCCCCTGAGATCTCTCCAAAGCCAATAGTGGCTTCATGTCACCACCAGCAGGGTGGGAAATTTTGGCCAGGTGGGATGCACCATTTTTCCCATTTAATTCCTTCTCTTCTCCAGAGCATCTCCGGCGCTTTCAAGAGCATCTACCAGCAGCACGGGGTGGTGGGGCTGTGGCGGGGGGTGTCGGGCGCCGTGCCCCGCGTGGCCGTGGGCTCGGCAGTGCAGCTCGCCACCTTCGCCTCCGCCAAGGACTGGGTCTGCGAGCGGCAGGTGAGCGGGACGTGTGCCGGATCCGGCCGCCACCGGCCCCCCGTGCTCCCCCTCATTGTTGGGAAGAGCTGATGCCGGCGCTTCCCGCAGTGGTTCAGGAAGGGCAGCTGGGCGGCGGTGCTGGCGGGGGGCATGGTGAGTGGTGTGGCTGTGGCTGTGACAATGACACCTTTTGACGTGGTCAGCACACGGCTCTACAACCAGCCGGTGGACGCCGATGGCACGGTAAGGCCGTTCTGGGTACGGCACAGGGGACACGCGGCTTTTCCCAGGATTGCATCCGGCAGGGGTGCAGAGCTGGCTCCTGTCTCCCCAGGGCAAGCTCTACCGAGGTTTTTTGGATTGTATCCTGCAAATCTCCAGCAAAGAGGGGCTGCTGGGCTTGTACAAGGGCATCGGCGCCGTCTACCTCCGCCTTGGTCCCCACACCGTCCTCAGCCTCTTCTTTTGGGACAAGCTCAGGAACATGGTTCAGCACTAGCAGCCCCCAGGGCTGTAGGACAGACTCCTGCCAGCACCACCACCACCGATGTTAATAAAGAGGTTTTTCTATTTTTGGTGTTGTCTTGGGGTCTTTGGGGTGGTGCAGAAGGGGGGGCAGGACCTGAAATGCTGCAATGCCTCAGGGTGGAGAGGAGAATGGCAGTGCTGTCGTGGGGGGAGGTTAAAGGTGCTGGTGGTCCCTGAGCCCATGTGCATCACATCTCTCTTCTCCTAATTTTCACCTCCACGGGGCAGCTGGAGCTCATCTCATCCAGCCAGGGCTCCAGCTGCCCTGGTTTGCCCTAATAATGATTTACTAGCCGGGGGGGCCACCCCCTGCCTCCACCCCGTGGACCTTGGAGCCGGGGCCTGGCTGCACTGTGGCTCCTCTCCACTGAAAATGTTTTCCCTGGGATCCTGGCTCCCAGCGTTTCCCGGGCTGGCATGGGGCTGGGCACTGCTGGATGCACTCCTGCAAGGTGAGATGCCCGAGGGTGGCCTGGGGACAGCCCAGGGGACACCAGTGACCCACTGCTGCCTTTCCCCGCAGGGCTGGTGGGTGCCTGCGCCGTCTCGGTGCTCTGCAGCCTCCTGAAGGTTTATCTCTACATCCAGTGTGTGAAGTAAGCACCAGCCCTTTGTCCCCTGGGGCGGGTTGGTTTTGGGGATCTGATTTTGGGATCTGCTGTTGGGCCGTGGCTCTTGGCACTGAGGGGGCAGGGGCTGCAGAGCACAGAGGGGGATGTCACTAAGGCTGTCACCCAAAATAGGGTGACATCCTCTGGCTCAGCATTCCCCCCCGCTGTCCCCAGCAACCCCGAGCGGCAGGAGGAGAAGGAGGCGATCGCGGCGCGGCGGCCGCTGCTGGAGCCGCTGCACGTGCTGGTGCTGACCCCTGTCCTGGCCCTGGTGGGCTCCCGCGTGGCTGCACTGGTGGTGCTGGAGTTCTCCCTGCGCGCCGTCTCCACCATCCTCTCCCTCGGCAAGGTGAGGTGGCACGGGGGAAACTGAGGCACGGCGGGGATGGATGGAGCTGGAGAACTGGGGGTTTGTTCAGCACCCACGGGGGATGGATGGAGGAGGTGGAGGTGGCCATGTGTCCCTCTGCACCTGAGCCCAGGTGGGCAAGAGGCCAATGGCCCCTGGCTGGTCCCAGGGCAGTGCTTGTCCCCTGTGCTGGCACTGGTGGGACATCTCCAGTTCTGGGACTTTTGTGGGAAGACATTGAAGGGCTGGAGTGTGTCCAGAGGTGGAAACAGCTGGAGAGCCTGAGGGAGCTGGGAAAGGGGCTCAGCCTGGAGTAAAGGATGCTCAGGAGGGACCTTCTGGCTCTGTCAGGAGGGGACAGCTGGGGGGTCAGGCTCTGCTCACAGGGAACAGGAGGAGAGGGAATGGCCTCAGGCTGAGCCAAGGGAGGTTTAGACTGGATATTGGGAAAAATCCTTCATGGGAAGGGTGCTCAGGCACCGGCACAGGCAGTGCTGGAGTCATCATCCCAGGAACGGTTCAACAAGTGTTTGGAGAGACACTTGGAGAGATGAGTGGAGGCGCACACGGCAATACTGGGGGAACTTGGGTTCGTTGATGTTGGAGATCTTTTCCAGCCTCACCAATTGCTGTTTGCAGGGCGCCCACAGCAGCCAGCTCTACCTGCTGTGCCAGTACTCTCTGGGCTGCGGGCTGTCCTGCGGCCTCAGCTTCCTGCTGGAGGGGGCTCCGCACCGCAGCTGGAACCTGGCGCTGGCGGCGGGGCTGGCGGGGCTGCTGGCGCTGCACGCCCGGCGCTTGGCCCGCCACGTCTGCGCCCTGTACGAGCTGCACAGCCGGCAGCGCTACTGCGGCCTCTGCATCCTGCTGCTGGCTGCGGGGCACGGCATCCCCCGCCTGCTGCGCAGCGCCCTGGCCGTCACCTTCGCCGTGGCTGACCTGGCGGCTGTGGAGCTCATCAACCGTGATTTCCTCTCCACGGGAGAGGCAGTGCGCTTCTGGACCCCGCTGACCATCTGCTACACGCTGCTGGTGGTCTACATGCAGGGTATGTGGGGTGTGCTGGGGGTGTGGGGCCACTGGAGGCCAGCTGGGGCTGGACAGGGGCAGATTGGGGGTCCTGGGAGGGTCTGCGGAGTGTATGGGGCGTACTGGGGGTATGCACGGGGTATGTAGGGTGTCCTTGGGCAGTATAGGTGGTATATATAGTATGTGCTGGGGGTGTAGAGGGGTATATGTGGCATCCCAGAGGTCTGTAAGGGGGTATATGGCACATTCTGGGGGTGTATAAGGGTATATGGGGTATCCTGGGAGTATGTGGCACATTCTGGGGGTGTATAGGGGTATATAGGGCACCCCAGGGGTCTGTAAAGGGGTATATGGGGCATCCCAGAGGTCTGTAAGGGGGTATGTGGTACATTCTGGGGGTGTATAGGGGTATATGGGGCATCCCGGGAGTCTGTAAAGGGATATGTGGTACATTCTGGGGGTGTGTAGGGGTATATGGGGCACCCCAGGGGTCTGTATAGGGGTATATGGGGCATCCTGGGGGTCTGTAAGGGGGTATATGGCACATTCTGGGGGTGTATAGGGGTATATGGGGCATACTGAGGGTCTGTAAGGGGTATATGGTACATTCTGGGGGTATATAGGGGTGTATGGGGCATCCCAGGGGTCTGTAAGGGGGTATGTGGCACATTCTGGGGGTGTATAGGGGTATATGGGGCACCCTGGGGCTCTGTAGGGAGTGTGTGTATCTATATCCTGGGTGTACTGGGGGGTACAGAGAGTACATGGGGTGTCCTGGGGGTACCTGGGGCACCCCGGGACTGTCTAAGGGGTACAAAGGCTGTCCTGGGGGTGCATAGGGGCTGGTGGTGTCCCCATTGTGGGGCTGCGGAGGTCCCAGCCTCCCTGCCGTGCCTCCCCAATGCCATATCCTCACAGAGGAGTCCCGGCAGAGCACGGGCAGGGCGGCTGCGTTCCGCACCGTGCTGGTGAGGATGGGCGGCCTCTTCATCCTCCTGCTCACCGTGGGCCGATGGACGGACATCCTGCACCTCTTGGTGTCTCTGCTGGGGGAGTTCTGGTGCCTGCTGCGCTCCGGGGTCCTGCTGGAGTCCTGCTGGAGGCAGGTGAGAGGGGGACACCTCCCTGCCAGGCGGGGTGAGGGCTGGCAGCAGCCCTGGCACCACGGTGAGAGGATTTTTGGCTTCTCTCTTCCATCCCGGCCAGGATTTTGCCCAGCAGCCTCGTGTGGATAATCTGTCGGGATCCGGATCCGAGGAATCGTCCCGATGAGCCGCAGGGCGGAACCGGACAGAGGAAATAAACTCAGGGTGGCTTCGCTGGGCACCCCAGAATCCCCCCATCACAGATCCCCCGTGGGGAATAAGGAAAAAAGGGCTCCTGGAAGGAGTCCGACCCCATCCCATGGGATGGAGGAGGTCGTGGGGAAGGCTCATGTTGCCCCTGGTTTTTAGGGGGGTTCCATGAGGTTGCAGCACTGCTGGGGTTTGTTCTCTGGTCCCAGTGGGATTGCAGGATGCTGATGGATGTCCCATCATTGCTGGCAGCTGGGCCACACTGTCAGGGGCCTCCAGGGGATTATAAATCTCAGAAAATAAAGGTGTTTTTTTTCCAGCAAAATCCATGGGCAGAGCAAGCTGGGGTCCCATTGTGCTGGGAAGGCACTTGGGATGGTGGGGGTGCAGATTTTTGAGGGAAGTTGGTAGAATTCCTCCGTGGGAAGGGAAGCTGAGGCACTGAGTGGGGTGACCCTCTGGCTGTGCCTCAGTTTCCCCCTGGCTGCACATCACTGTGCAAGGGAACAACAGGCCCTGCGAAGGTGGGGTGCAGTGTGGGGATGGGGGTTCTGGCTGCCTGGGCATGGACTCCCAATGCAGGGGGGAGCAGGAGGAGGTCTGGGGGTGTTTGGGGCAGCGGGGGCTCTATAGGGGTTTATGGGGCATGCTGGGGCTTTAGGGGGGCACATGGGGGCACATAGAAGAAATATGGGGCTAACTCGGGCTGTATGGGAGGATAGGGGTTATCCTGGGTGTATATGGAGATATTGAGGCTGTACTGGGGTACACGGGCACCCCGGGGGTGTATGGGGGGCTCACAGGGCACTCCTTGGGGCTGGGTGCCCTGAGGGTGTGTGGAGCTCTCAGAAGATCCATGGGAAAACCTGGGAGGGGGTAATCCCAGAGGATATGGGGCACCCACGGGGCCATGGGTCACCCTGGGGTAGATGGGGCACCCACGGGGCCATGGGTCACCCTGGGGTCGATGGGGCACCCACGGGGCCATGGGTCACCCTGGGGTAGATGGGGCCCCCAGGGAGCACTTTGGGGAGCGTGGGGCAGTCGGAGGGTGAATGGGGCACCCTAAGGACACGTACCCCACTCTTCCTCCGCCCGGGGCTGTGGGGCAGGCAGGGGGGAGGAGGAAGAGAGGTGGAAGAGGAGGAGGAGGAGGGAGGAAGGGGCGGTGATGCCGGGCGGCTCTGCCTTCCCGCTGCCCCGCGGAGCGCACGGAGGGAGCCGCAGCGGCTGCCCAGGTAGGGGACACGGACGGGGACACGGTCACCCCCCGAGAGGCTGCAGGGCCACCTCGGGGCAGGCGACACCCCTTACCCCGGGCAGAGAACCTCACCCACAAGGTGCGACCCCCAGGTAGGGAACAGGGGACACCCCCAGGTAGGGACCACCCCAGATTTGGGATTGGAAACCCCCCCAGGAGGGGACAGGGAGCGCCCCTATATGGGACACGGGACCCGAAGTCATCCTGGGGTGAGACAAGGGCACCAAGAGCCACCCCCACGGAGGGGACCGGGGACCCTCCCAGGGAGGGGATGGGGGACCCACCGCTCCATAGGGGACAAGGCAGTGCCAGGTAGGGGACAGGGAGCTGTGAGGCTGCACGGTGGGACACAGGGGATGCCGGGGTGCTGCAAGGCCACCCCCAGGTGAGGGACAAGAGGGACACCTACTTGGGGTGGGGGAAGATGGGACACCAAGTTGTGTACCCCCATCCCTTGTTCCTTGGGCATCCTCGGAGCAGCCTCTGAGAGGTCCCTGGGGCAGAGTTGAGGTGCAGCCCTAAAGGGCTGTGTCCCATACCGATTTTGGGGGTTGTGGGGATACCCCATAAGTGGCCCTATTTCCATCAATCCCACCCGAACTTCCATCCCAGGAGATTTCAGGGAAACCAGGGGGGTTCCTTTCCAGTGTGGCCTCGGGCACCCCAAACCAGGATGGAGTTACATGGAGAGGGGGGACCCCCATTAATGCACCCCTCGGGCCGGGGGGATCATCTGGGGGGTGCTGCCACGGGGCTGCCGGGATCCATCAGCCCCGGCACAAAGAGGAATGCGATGAGCACATGGTTCCTATTAACCCCGGAGATTGTTTTTTTTTTTTTTTTTTTTTTTTTGGTAATGATTGTTCTTTTCTTTCTCCCCTCAGTTTTCCGCAGTTCTGCTGGGGAGGAGGAAAAGCGGCAGCCCCGGTGGGTGAGGAGCTGGGCGAAGGCACCGGTAGCCAGCGGGGAGGGAGGGAAAGAGGGAGCGAAGTGCTTGGGGTTCTTTTTCCTCTTTAATCCCTTCCTCTTTAATCCCTTGAGTCAGAGGCTGAAGTCACCGGCAGGAACATCGCGAAGCTTTTCGCCCACCTCGGGGAGTCTGTCTGCCCCTGAAAGGATGTGCTGACCCCCGTGAGTGGGATTTTGGGGGAGCAGAGCCGCATGAGACCGGGAACTCATCACACAGGTATCTTTCAAGCTGCCAATTCACCTCAGGGATGAATTCTGCTTCACCAACACAGCGCCCTGACTAAAGCCTCAGGGTTCCCCCCCTCAGTCCATTCCATTTGGGAAGGGGAAGCTTCGCCCCAGCTGCTTTTCCCCTTGGGAAGTTGGATAAACAGCCCTTTTCCTTCCTGAGCAGCGTTTCTCGGGGTCGGGTGCGTCCTGCCTGTGCTGCGCAGGGGATGTGTCAGTGTCGGGGATGTGGTGATTCACAGCACCACACCTCAGTTTTCCCACCTGGAAAAGTAAAAAGGGGGGATGCGCAGAGCTGGAAGTGATTGGCAAGGAATTGGGGATAAGGAGGGAGGGAATGGGGATGTGGAAAGATTTTAAAAAAGGGGTTGCAAAAGCAAAATCCTATAGATGCCCTGTTTTATAAAAAGGAAAGGTGGGTACTTCCTGCTGCCCATGGGGAGTTTAATCCCAGGTGGGTAGGAGCAATAAGAGGAAATACAGGAGATCCAAATGCTTATGAAAAGGTGGGATATGGCCACAGAGGTGTGAAAATGGGAGATATCAGCTGTTGCCAGGACTCTGTACCCTGTGTCCTCCCAGGCACGAGACCATTTATTGCTGTGACGTGGGATGGGACGCTTGTTCCCTCTCCCTTTCCGGGAGGAGGGTTGATGCCGAAGGGCAGCAGGAGCTGCCAGTGTGCCTGCAAGTTTTACTCTCTTTCTTTCTTATTTTCCCTAGAATCAACCCCCAGTCTGGCCTTTCCATGGCTTCAGCCATGTTGCCAGGGAAAGCAGAGAAGAGAATCGCTTCATCCATTTTCATCACCCTCGTGCCACCAAGGAGGGACGTGGCCACCAAGGAGAAAACCCAGCTGGAGCCGCAGCCAGGTGATGCCGAGGTCCCTGGCACTGATCACCCCCAGATCCTGCTGTCACCCCCCACATGAGGGGGTGAGGGGTGTCCATGGGGAGCTGTGAGTGATGTGGAAGGATGGCAATGGGGCTGAGGAGGCTGGAGAGATGCTTTGCTAAAGGATGTGCGTGCGGAAGGGCATGTGTGGGTATGTTTTGGGGAGTTATTCCCCAAATCCCTGCATGCAACCCGGCATGGATCCGGCTCCTGGGGACGGGCTGTGTTTGCTCTCCATTGCTGGGTGCTTATCGGTGCTGTTTGTCTCCTCCTGCTTCGATGGCGTTTGCTTTTGGGGCAGGTCTGCAAGCGCTGCTGCAAAGCTGTTGGGGTGTTATTGTGACAGGGCGTTATTGTGATGGGGTGGTATTGGACATTATTGATCCCCTAAATCCCCCACATCTGTCTGTTGCTGCAGAAACCCACCCAGTGGCCCCTGTACCTGGATCCACACCAGTCTTGCCCCTCTCTGAAGTGGAGCCCTTGTCTGTGGAGCCACTGGGTCTGGCACTGCAGCAACTGGACCTTGCAGCGCCCACCACCCTCCAGGTGAGGATAACAGAGTGCAGCCCCCCAGTGCCTCAGCTTCCCCACTAACGTGGCTTTGCCCTTCCCCACTTGCCAGGCCCCTTCCACCTTCCCTGCCGAACTGGAGCCACCCACATTTTCCCAGGAGCAAGCAGGCAAGCGGCAGTGGCAGGATGTGAATGGGCACCCGGGGAGGGACAGCTCCAGAGGTACGACGAGACCCAGCTGTGCACAGGCTCATCCCCACTTAGGGAAACTGAGGCACGCAGCTCCCAACCACTCTCCCTGCTTCTTGCAGACATCTGTGCCTTCTGCCACAAAGCGCTGGGGCCCCGGGAGCCGACGGTGGAGGCGATGCAGAAGCAGTACCACCCTGGCTGCTTCACCTGCCGTACGTGCCACCGGCTCCTGGCTGGGCAGCGCTACTTCCAGAGAGACGGGTGCCCCACGTGTGACACCTGCTTCCAGGTACCAGTCCTTCTTCAGGGAAAACCAGCACACTCAGAACATCCCTTGGGGTGTGGGCTGGTATCTCATAGCACGTGTTCTCTAAATTCCAGGCCACGCTGGAGAAATGTGCCAAGTGCCAGGGGCTGATCACGGAGCACATTGTCCATGCCCTGGGCAAGGGCTACCACCCCAGCTGCTTCTCCTGCGCTGCCTGTGGCCGGGCCATCGGCACCGAGAGCTTTGCTGTGGACAAACAGGGTGATGTGTACTGCGTGCCCGACTACTACAGGTTGGCCATGGGGGAGTATCTCCCATACTGGGAGCTGGGTTTGGCTCGTCCCCTCAAGCCCACAGGGCTCACACTGCTCCCGTTGGCTCCATCAGGAAATACGCCGCGGTGTGCAGCGCCTGCGAGCGCCCCATTGTCCCCCGCGAGGACGAGGACACCTACAAGATCGAGTGCCTGGGACGCAGCTTCCACGAGAGCTGCTACCGCTGCGAGGTATGGCCCTGGTGGCTGAGGGGTCCCCAAAGCCAAGGGGGTGGCACTGAGCATGGACACAGGGATGGCAGCACCCACAGCTGGTTTTTAGCCCTCAGTTTATCTTATGAGTAATGGGGAAGGGCAAAATAAATAAATTGGGTGGTGGTGATGTGTTTGGAGAACAGCTTTGCATGCTTTTGATGAAGTTTGTCACTTTCTTGGAGTGCTGGTGGGTTTTGCAGGGAAAATAGGATGTAACACACACAGGGACCTCTAAAAGGTGGCTTCCTTTTCCCCTCCTGCCCCCAGAGCTGTAGGATGCCCCTGTCGCCAGAGCTGACAGAGAACGGGTGCTACCCCCTGGACGACCACCTCCTCTGCAAGTCCTGCCACATCCACTGGCGCAACGAGTCGTCCTGCTGAGACCCTGCAGCTCATCAAGCTCTTCCAGTGCCAGGCACCAAAAAGGGGGTGCCCCCAGTGGGATGTGCCCCATGGCCAACCCTGGGTGCCTGCTGCGCCCCCAAATTACTGCAGAACTGGGTTTTCATCACCAAAATGTCCCCAGGCCCCTGACCTGGTGGGTTGGTTGGGTGGAGAACTGTAGATATGTCCCAGCACAACTCTGCACTCATCATGATTTTAAAATGCCCTGACGGAGCAGCAATAAGGACTGGAGGTTTTATTCCTCATTTCTTATTTTAAACTCCTTTTTCCAAAGGCCAGTTTGGTTTTCTTGGGCGGTGTTTCTTTCTTCTCAAGCTTCCTTGGGATTTCACTGAAATGTTTCTCTCTGTGGAGAGCTGTGGGCACTGATTTAGTTACTCGCAGTTAAATAAAACCCCAAGTTTTTAAACTCTCATTTCTTTAATCCACCCTGCATTCCAAACCTATAAAATCCAAGTTTAAAATAAGGGAAAAAAGCCAGTTTTGGATTTTCTAGGCGTGGCGAGAGTTGGTCCATAACAGTTAATTTTAGGGTGTAACGATATGGCAGATGCTGCTGTCACCCTGGGGAGAGCCGAGTGTTGTTTTTAGGGTGGATATGGGATCTGGCGATGTTTCATGGTGTTGATAAAAGGGTTTTTGGTGTGGTTTGGGGTTTTTTTTGCTGACTATCTATCCGGAGCCGGCAGAGGGCAGCCGGAGCACAGATTCCTCCATCAGGCAGTAAAACTCCAGCTAAAAGCATCCCGCAGGGCCGAGACGCTGGGAAAGATGGACAGCCCGCTTTCTGCATATTATTTAAGATTATATCACTCTGCCAGTGGAAGCTTTCTGATCTCTCAGTCCAGGCCTCAAACCAGCAGAAATTAGACCCATTTCTCGGCGTGCCCAACATCTGTGCAACTGATGTTGCCGGCGCTTAGTGGTTTTGTTTGCGAGGGCGTTGCAAACCAGGCGGAGAAACTTCTAACTTTCTTTTTAACCGAAAGTGTTTAAAAAGCCACAAATCAAGAGCAGAAAATAGCATGAGCATGTTGAGATGATGTTTAATGATTTCCTGATGGAAAATGGGAGCTGCAAACAAAGAAAGCACCAGACCAGCAGCTCTTGGATCACATACATCTCTGGTGTGTGCTCTGTTTGAGTGCAGGGGTTAATGATGGTTAATTTATCACATCAATAACTATTTCCTGATGACTCTTCCCTGTCTACAAAGCTGATTACTCAATGTTTTTTAATGAGCATCTCTGGGCCATCAATCAGATCATAACTTGCTTTAAGTGTATTTATAAATAAATTGTGGTCTGTCCCAGACACATAAGTTGGTGGCTTTGGGTCCAGTTGGGTGGGAACGCCTTGTCCCATGCCAAGGAATTCCTGTGCTCCGAGTCACCTCTCACTTTCCAAGGCCTCTTGCACTGTGAGGAAAATCTGGCATCAAAATAATGCTAAAAAAGTAAAAGGATGTGGCAGTGGCCAAAGGGAGCAGGAAAAAGAAAGCCCAGAGGGCAAAGGGCTGTTTGCATTTTGTAATATGGATATTTTTCCACTCAAGGATTTTGGGGAGGATGGAAGTGCAATGCTGAGCAGTGTTTTGGATGTGTTATTGCAAATTGCACTGCCCTTCCACAGAGGAATGGTGGGAAGCAGTTGGGTATTTCCCCCTTGGAGCCCTCCAGGATGGGCTGTTGGCACTGGGACTGCAGAATTTTTGGCCAGAGACAGGCAGGGAAATGCTTTTATTTACAGGCAGCCTTGGAGGTCTTGGAAAGCAAGGAGAAAGGAAAGGCACTGCTGGAGCATTTGGCAGCATGGTGAAGGGATGTAGCATGGTCAGATTTGACGTGGTATTTCAGGAGCGGAGGGTGACAAGGGACAGGGATACACGGACACAGGTAAGAGGACAAAAAGGCTGATTTAAGGCATCTTCCCGGATAAAGGGAGAAGCACTACAAGCTGAGGCTTGGGGAGCATTGCTTTGCCTGAAAAGCACAGCCCCGTGTTTTCCCTTGGGAGGAGCTCGAGGAATTCTGAGCCGCATGCAGGAGATGCTGCAGGGCTGGGGCTGCAGGAGCTGGATCCTGTCCCGCTGCCATGGGCTGCAGCGGCTCGGCCTGTCCTTGGGCTCCTCACCCTGTCACGAGAACTTCTGCAAGCACCCAGGTCTGCAGAAGTAAACCAACCACACATCCTGCCTTGAAAAAATAACATTTTGAGGGGCTGGGCTCCACAACCTTGTGGAGTGCCCCCCAAGACCACCCAGGTGTAAACCCCGCTCCAAGTCCCTCCTCTTGTCCCTGTGGCAGCGGCAAAGGGCAGAGAGGATGGCAGCGCTCCGGATGGCTCCAGCCCTTCCCTTGGCTGCTGCAATACGCCCGTCAGCTCTTGCAATCCCTCTTGGCAGGCTGGGGAGAGCGGGAAGGACCTGGCTGCCTTCCAAGGAGCAGCAAATGCAAATATTTCCTCACTTCAGGCTGGGTGCGGCCCGCGGATAAAATTTCCTTGGGCTTTCCCAGCGAAGGCATCCGATCTCTCGCTCTGCTGCGAGGCCAACTTGCTCCCAGGAACACAACCACGCGTCCCATAAAAAAAGCCTAAAGGTTATCTTTTTACAACTCAAAGGACTGCCTGGTTTTTAAAAAGAGGTTTTAAATTGAAAAAGGAACTGTCAGGCACAGCTGTAGTGTTTTCAAATCAGCGGTTAAAGTGTTGACTCACAAAAAACAAAACAAAACAACCCTTTCTGCAGGTTTCTTTGGAAAATGGAAGATTTGTTGTGTGGTGCAAGGAAAGTGGGATGATAAAGGGGCTGGAAAAGGTGCTGGGAGCAAGGTTGGGTGCTGGCAATGGTTTTTCTCAAATAAGATAGAAAGAACTGCAGAAAAACTTTTCTTTTTTTTTTCCGTTTGCATCCTAGGTTAATGGCAGTCACATCCCAGCCAGCTCCCTGCAGCGCTGTTCTTCCCCACAGAGCATTCAGACCTATTTTCTGCATGTTCCTTCGACACAACCTAAAAAAAAATTACATTTCTTAAATGAAAAGCAGTCTGATCTTGCTGATTCTGGAAAAGGCAAAAAACAGCAGGGATTATACAAGGAACAGCCCAAGTGTGGATTTCTCCAGGTCATGCAGCACAGGTGAGATATATATTAAAAAAAAACCAGCTGTATGCTAATATTCTCATTTATCCCCAATTTTCCTGGCAAAACTGAACCACCCACTGCCACAATGTAGTTTTAAAACACATCGATTTTGATAGCATGAGGGGAAAGGGATGAGGCGAGTGCGCAAGCGCGTTACTAGGCTGCAAGTGGTATACTGGCTTCTTTATAAAATAAAGGATAAAAAGCCCAACCCACCCTATTTTTCAAAACAGACGCACAGCACACACCTGTGAGCAGAGTTTTGTTATTTCATACCCCAGATTTCCCTCATGTATCAGTGAATATAGCATCCTGCAGCCCTATTTCCTGAAAATTACCAATTTTCACCCAGATTTGGCTTCAAGTGGTTTTAAGTTATATCTTTATTTTGATGGAATGTCCAGTAAAGCAGTGTGAGTGAGGTGTTTTATTGAAATAAAAACATGGATATTTTTTGAAGAGGTTATCCCCTTTGTCAAGGTGGATTATTGATATCAGGGGAAAAAAAGTGGAGAAGGACGGGGAATAAATATATGTAATATTATATCCCTTAATTCTCCGTGCAGCTAAACTTTTCCTCACAGCCAAGCTGTGGAATATGCTTTAATCTCATTTACTGGATTGATTCGTCTGAGTATGGTGGGTTTTTTATTTTATTGTTTGCTTGCTTTTTTGCTGAAGCGATGGGGCTCTAGGCGGGGAGTTCAGCACGAAGTGTTTCGGGAGGAAAAAGAGAAATTCCCGAAGAAAAAAGATGAAATGAGGAGGAAAATGAGGGTTTTGGGGGACAAAAGGCGGCGCCGGCCGGGGCTGCCCCTCACGGCCCCTCAGGCGCTGCCCCCCCGCGCTCGCTTCACAAAATGGCCGCCCGGCGGGGCCGCGGGAGCGGCTCTGAGGCGACAAAATGGCGGCGGGCGGAGAGCGGCGCGGGCATAACGGAGGGGCTCTAATCCTGTGGGAATCCCCTCCGGGCGGGCGGCGAAAGCGCTGCGGGTGAAACCTGACCTTCTTATTATCCCCTCCTCCCTCCTGCCCTTTTCTCCTCGCCGCCTTTGCGAAAGGATGTGAAAATGGCCAGAAATGCGCGTTTTTATTCGGCCATGGCGGAGCCCCCGGTCCTCTCACCTCAGCTCCCCTCCCCGCTCCCCCAGTTATACCCCTAATATATATATTTTTTTTTCCTCGCAGCTAAGGGGCTTTGGCTCTGAATTGCGCTTTCCACATGCCCCCCACCCCCTTCCTTCATCATCACCACACGCACCCCCAAGGTGGGTAGTTTATGCCTAATTCTTTGCTTTTCCACCGCTTTTCTCCTCCGCAGGGGTTGAAGCCGCCATCTCCCGATCTCCTCACGGCATGGAAAATCCCCAAATGTGCTTAGGGAAAAAAAAATACACTCAAAAGAAAAAAAAAAAAAAAAAAAAAAAAAAAAAAAAAAAAAGCCCCAAACGCACGAGGATTGATTTATCATCGGTGCCGGAGTGGTATGGGAAGAAGCGATCGCTGCTCGCCTGCTCCCCACAACAGCTCACCCGCCTTTCGCTTAATTAAAATCATATATTGGTGTGATCAGACGTGGTAATGCCATTAAAAAAAAAAACAAATCCCGTAACATCCACCCACTCGTTGTTGGAGACTGTAGCCAAGGTACCATGCTTTTTTTTTTGTTTTGTTTTGTTGTTTTAAATATTCTTTTAATGTTGCCTTACCCTTTTTTCCTGCACAGTGTTGTTACCGGCTATAACATTGCTTGTTATTTCTTAAAAGCTACGTACCAAAAATACTGCTTTTTTTTTCCCATAGAATTGCAGATTTAGGCCTATACAGATGCTCTTTTATTTCTATAGATACAGAAATATTTGTATGTATTTAATAAATATAAATATATAAATACTGCTATATATTTAATATTTTTATATAGATGACCTTTTCCTAGGGACTACTTAAAATATAAAATAAGCCCACATAACTAAAAACTATAATTTAATTATATATAATCACTATAACTTTGGCCCATATATATATTTGATTTTATATATATATATATTACCTTTGTTTTCCTCCATTGGTTTCCTACTACAATGTGTCCTAAAAGCAGTAGAAAAAATGCCGTCAAAAATAAAAATAAAAGAAGAAAAAAATAACAAAAACCAACCCATCTCTTTTTTTTACAATCCATGATGAAATTTGTGCTTGCATGTTTTATTTGTTCCACAGAGATGTAGATTTTCCTTGGGAGATTTGGGAAGGATTATTTTTTAATGAAAAAGAGGAAAAAAATACACCCAGAAAAAAACAAAAACGAACCAAAACAAACAATGAAAAAGAAACAAAAAGGAAAAAAGCACGACAGAACCAAACCGCAGTAAGTGAAGCTGCAAATGCAGCCGACTAGTCCGGATCAGACAATTCATTGCACGAAAAAAGGATAAATGGAACTGCAATGGCCGGCTTTGCTGTAGGTCCAGGAGGAGGGATCAGCTCCTTTATCCCACCATCTCGCGCTACGAACACCACCATTTTTTTCCCTTTCTCTCCTTTTTTTTTTTTTAAATACGCTTTGTTGGGGCGTTTTGTTTCGAGCCGAGGCGGCTGCACCACCCCCCGAGCCGGGGCTGCCGGAGCCGCTCGGGGGCTTCACTTTTACAGAGATCTCTTATTTTTCCCCGGCCTCGTGCAGTCCTCTCCCTTTTATTACATGGGTTTGTTTTTTTTCCCCCTCTCCCCTCTGCGGGTATAAAGGTTTCTCTCCTCTCTCCAGCTTGGCTGCTTGTTCCAGAAGTTTCCACGGGGGCGGGGAGCCCCCACTGCGGCGCCTTTGCCGCAGCGCCGGGCAGGAGGAGGAGGAGGATGCGGAGGATGCGCCACCTCTCCCTGGCTGGGAGCCTCATTCCAAGCCGCTCCCCCTTGCTCCGTTCCCCCAGCCTTGAAAACACAGCACTGGGGAGGTGTTTGCAACTTGGAGGGGTTTTTTTTTTTTGGGGTTGTTTTTTGTTTTTGTTTTTTTCCCCCCTCTAAATAAATGGAAAGCAGAGCTGTCGCTGATGGAGATGGATGAGGCAGGGCTGGCAGCGCCGCAGCTCTGCTCCGGCGTGGCCGTGGCACCGATGGCATAAGTGACCTTTCCCAGGCGGTGGGAGAGGGGATTCCCCCCCCGCCCCAGCATGCTCCTGCTCGGAATTCATTTTAAATAGCAGGAATATTATTTTTTATTTTCCTTCCCTCCTCCCGTTTCTCCTTCACTGTTTGGTTTTGTTTGTTTTTTGGTTGTTTTTTTTTTTTTTTCTTCCCCGAAGCTTCCTCATGATCTTTTATTTTTTTTCCTGTGTGTGTTTTGAATTGCATTTTAAAATTGCCCAGCTGGAGACAAGGCTTGATTAGAGCTGGAACAATAGCTCCCTTTTATTAATAACGGGAAGGATTTACAATCCTACAGCACCTTCCTTGGAAAGCTTTCCAAACCATTTGCAAACACTCACAAATTTCAGATTGTGCAGCCCTTGGCTGTGAGGTGGGTAAGTATTTAATGGTGCCACCACCCAAAATCACCTCGGTGGCAAACCTCAATTTCTGAGTGCTTAAAAAGATGACAAACTTGGTTTGGTTTGGGGGTTTTTCAGTGGGGGGTGGTGGGTGGGGTGACGGGTGTGGGGCTGGCTAAAAGCTGTAACCTAAATCTGTAGATGCGGAGTATTTGCTGCGTCCTGGGAACTGGGCTGTTCTCCCTCCAGCCACGCAGCTTTCCAGAGCCGAGCTGTGGATTTGCTGCATGTCAGTAAACATCTGCTTATGGATTTTTTTTTTTTTTTTAATCCATTCCCTTTGTGCAGTCCCTAAGTGACCTCCTGCAGCGCTGCCTCCACTGCGGTTCCAGCGCAGCCTTGCACTGGAGCACTAATGTGTGTCCCTGCGAGCCAGAGTGACCTTGCTGGGGGACTGGACCCACCGAGTGATTCAGGTGCTCTGCTTCCATCCCAAATCCCTGCACCCCGTTTTTTTTCCAGCACATCCCCTCACCCCGGGGGATACTGCACTTACGGGTTAAAGCTGTTTCATGCGTTTTGTCCTCTGGTTTTGGTTGTTTGTTTTTTTTTCCCAAGGGAAACAACGTATTGTTTATGTAACCCCTCTCCACAGCAGATCCCTACGAACCACGCAGGGATCCAGGAGTCACCCAGGCAGTGGGATCTGGCCTTGCCAGAAGCATGAGGGACAAGGCTCCAGCCATGTCTGCATGTGTCACACACGGGCCACACAAACCCACAGTGTTCCTGTGGTTGCTTCTGTCTGCAGAGCATCAGTGGGTCCCAGGACTTCCCCTTCCCACTGCTTGCTGGTTCACAAAGGCTGATGCTTCTGGAAAAAGCTCTGCCTTGTGGCCTTTAAAATAAATAAATAAAGCGGCGCTGCTGTGGATTAGTCATCCTTATTTTTGAAGGAAGCTATTTGCCAGCGCTGTCCGAATCAGGCATGTGCGTGTGAGATGGGAACTCCAGAAGGCTGGTAACGTGCTCTGCTCGCTGCTCCTTGGTGCTCAGCCACCCAGGCTTCGTTGAGCTGCTCCTGGCAGGTGGAAAATCTGACAGTCCAGCTTTCCAGACCTTTCCCTCCTTTTTTTTTCAGTGCTGGAATATGCATTGGCAGGTGTGCAAATGTGGAGACTGTAACAGCAGCAAGTGAGGATGGATGAGCTGTTTTCTGGGGTCACATCCAACTCCAGAGAAGAAACCCTGGTGAATTATAATTTTTTTCTTGTCTCTGGTAGATTTTACTCTAAGCTCCGCTGTATCTTGTGAGAAGACTGAGTTTGACCCTTTTGGCTACTAAAAATGGTTCTGTTTTTAAACCTTGGTGCTGTTTCCCTTCCCTGTGGTCATGCAGAAGAGCAAGCGGTGCAATTAAACAGTACAGCGAAGGGCAGTTCCCTCCCCCTTTCCCTTTCAAAAAATCCAGAGTTGTGTGTCTTGAACTGCTGCATAGGCAGAAAACATACAAAGCCCTTGTCAGCATTGTGCTGATGTGTGGCACGTTAAAAAAAAATACACACAAAAGGGGTGGGGAGAGCGGGTGCCTCCAGGGAGCAAAACTGTGGGGCCCCTTTCCCTCCAAGCCCACAGACCTACGTGGGATAGTCTATTCCTCCTAATTTTGCTCAGGCAAAAGCAGTGGAGGTCAGAGGGAGTGTTGAACATCTTAAATGGTATTGATGAAGATCAGGGTCCCCTTGAATTACATTTTTTTTCTCTGTGAACTTGGTCCTGTGAGATGCAGCTGGTTTATTATTCCATTCCTCAGAGTCCTGCTCACGGGGAAGAAGGGAAACGCTTCCTTACTGGGTGTCATTTCTTCTGTTGTGTTACAAAGGCAATAACCAGAGACCTGGTGCTGGTCTCTGCCAGGTCACACATGGCTTGGAGGCGCAGCTTCCCGCAGTCATTAGTGCACAGGGAGTGTTGGGGGTCGTTAGCCACTCTTAATGAGGATATTGCATCAGGATTCCATGGATGCTGCTGTCTGACCCGACCCTGGAGAAGCCCCTTAGGAGAAATTATTTCACTGACTGGTTGCTGCAGGGATTTCTGGCACAGCTACAGCTTTATCCTTCTTTTTGGCCAAAAATAAGTGCAGGGTGGGGATGAGGTGGCCAGGTCAGATTTCATACCCTGCTCCCTGTGGTAGATGTGCGAACAATGTGCCTAAAGCCTTGTTTGAAATAAGCCAAGGTGGACAGGGATTTGGATTTTATTCCCTCATTAGGGCTGTGTTGGTTTGGAGATACACCTTGTACTCTTCATAGGCCTTTGCTGGCAGGGAAGTTTGGATGAGCAAGAAGCTGCCTGTTGGGATGATTCCACATTTTTCAGGCTGGCACACCCTGTGGGACTCTAAATTACTTTCCTTTGGCAGTTTAGGATAAACGACTGAGAATTGCCTTGTGAGTGCTGAACTTTTACCCCTGAAGAGTTACTCGAGCTACATCCATGATATTTCCAAGCTAAACAAAACCTGAATTTCCAGTGCCAAAAAGCGATAAAAACCTCAACTCCTCCTCTGTTCAGGAGAGAACCGTGGCCTTTTAAGCTTTGCTCTTAGTCAAAGGAGTTAAAAGTTGCACTGTGAGATTTGCAGAGGTGAAAATAAAAGCCAAAGGCAGATGAGGAACTTCTCCCATGCCGTGTTGGAGGAGAGGCTTAGAGCGCAGCAGGTGTTGATGCACAAATATTTCTCTTTGTGCTTTCTCTGGAGCGAAGGAGCAGTAACTCCACAGACATGGGATCACTCCTTTTCATTTAAACACCCTCACGTTGCTGTGGTATCAAAATGGTGTTTGATGAAACTAAAGCTCAGATGGTGGTGGCTTGGTGTTTATTTTGTGCTGGGTATGCTGCTCAATCCAATGAGGAATGTGGGAAGAGAAGCCTGTAGCTTGCAGGTTTAGACTGTGGGGCTTGTGCTAAAGCCTTGTCCTGTAACATTTCCAGTGTAATTTCTGAGATTTTTTTTTTTTTTCTCCTGGGCATTACGCACAGGTAAAAATCTGGATGTAGAGTTAATGCAACAATTAGGTGTTAAAAATGGCAAAGTATAGGATTTGGTGATGTAACCAGTGTAACCAGTCCTAGGGGATTTATATCCTTTGCAGCTGTCCTGTTTGGGTATCCAGTCACATGGAACTGTCTTTTTTTATGTTTGGTTTCTTTGGTTTTCCCTTAAAATGTAATATTTTGCAGCCTGGAAGGCCATAGTCCTGTCTAGCGATGAAAGCCCTGTGTTTGGGGAGAACCCTTGTGAGGTGAGCAGGGTTGTACAGGAGTTTGGGGGCAAGGAGAAGCAGGGCAGGAACTGGCACTGTGATATTCCTGTGATTGTTTCCCAACAACAGGCTAAAGAAAAAGTGTTATTTCTAATATGTCTACCACACCATAAGTGTGAGTAAACTCTTTTGCAGTCCTTTGTTGGCATGTAGGTTTTGGTTGTGTGGTTTAACCATCACACTGGGTTCTGCTGCTGAAGAAACCTCTGGTTCTTTGTAGAAGGAATTTTAAAAGCAGAAATGTGCTTTTATGTAGAGATAATAATGGGTTCAATGTCAACTGAGGTCCAGGGCCCCCTGTATACTGGGCTGTGGGATGTGACTGGTGCTAAGCCACTGGCAAAAACGGTGGCATTTCATGGCAGCTCCTGTCCCTGTGGATAAGAACACCACAGGGAAGAGCATCAGAAAACAAATTACTAAATACTGCATTTCAAAAACGTGAAGGGAGTTTTCCGCACAGAGTCATTTCATCAGGAAGATTTGGAGCACTAACCCTCAAAAGAACTGAAATCAAGAGCTTTATTAATATAAATCCTGTGCTTTGTGTTGGTTAAGGCTCCAGAACTCAGCTCTGTGCTCCAAGTGTTTTCAGCCCCTAAGCTGATAGCCTCTGTCTTGGCAACAAATGGGTCTAAATATCAAACAGCACCAATTCTTTCTTGGAGAAAACGAGCATAAAGCAGAATGGGTAAGATATAAAATTAGGCCAATAATTCAGGCTGGCTTAAAAAGGAGATAAAAGCCTAGCTGGGAATTTGATATTCAGTTGTCATAGTGTTCTTTTCATAAATACTATCAATGAGTGAGGAAAACACGTAAATACATTTTATCCTGACAAGATGGTGGCTGGAACTGGCTGGCTCAAACAAAGGAACAATCTGAGTGTTTTCTGGGGCTCTTTGCTGGGAAACATCCTGCTTTTTTACAAAAAGCAAAGGAACCGGCTGTGCCCTGGTGGTGGGGAGATCCCCATGAATCCCGGCTGATGTAGCCAGGGAGAGGTGGAATATCCCCCTTTCCCAGCACGTCACACAGAGATGTTGCTGAGCCAGACCTGAGGGTGGGAAGTTATGTTCTGAGCCAACAGAGGTTGCTGTCCTTGTTCAGTATCTAATCTTTGCTTTTTGAAACGTTTGATGAGCAGTCTCAGCAATGTGTGGCAGCTCCACCGCTCGGGAAAGGTGCCGTGTTCAAAAAGGATAAACCTGCCTTTTGAAGCATTGTGTCTGCCCACTTCTATTTATTGGTTTTTCCTCCTCAAGGAGAGGCTGCTGTGTGGACCCCAAGGATGTTTTCCACTTTTTCTGCCCTTTTTTTTCCCTTCAAACTGGAGAGCTGCTAACTTTATTAGCTCCTTATATGGCAGCCTCATTTTCTCACGCCTTTAATGGCTCTCTTTTGATCTGTCCTGTTCTTGCCTTGCTTTTCCTGACGTGGTGTTCAAGCTGAGATGGGTTTATAACCTGCTCCCTCACTAACAAATGGCTTGGCACTTTGATCGCCTCCAGGCACTGATAAGAAACATCCAAATGTTTTAACTGTGGGGCTGGCTGAGTTGTCCAGAGATAGCTGGGCTCTCAGCTACACCCTCCCAGGAGTAATTTAAATTGTTCCCTGCAGTGTGTATCCCAAAGGCTGAGGGCCATCGGGTCATGGAGAACAGCTCAAGTCCCCTTGTGCTCAGCTGTTTGGCCCCCGGGAAGGGCAGCACAGCTGTGTCTTGTCCCTGGGTGCTCATGGTAGGACACTGGGCTGGCACAAATGTGTGTCTGTTCTGCAGACACAAGGATGGTGCTGGTCCTTCGTCACAGCCCCTCTGGCCTGTGTTATACCTGCTCTGCTCTCCAGCCTGGGTCTGTGTTCTGTAAAATCTTCGGCTGAGCTGGGGGATCTGGTTACAGCAGCATCGCTGGTGCGGTTGCAACTAGGAACAGCTTCCCTGCAAAGCATTTGAAGAGTATCACCATGGTCCAGGGCTTTGTTTTGCGTCACCAGCCGAGCTTTGTGCTCCTCTTCCAGCTGGCTGTTGTGTAAATGGAACCTTCCTGGCACTCGTCTGAACCCTCTCCTGTCAACAGAGTCGATGGCTTTGTTTGTGACAGCTCCCAGCCCCTGCATGTCCTGTGAGATGGCCGGGTGACAGCAGTGACTCCGTGTGAGATTCCCTGGAAGGACCTGGGAGCTGCTGTGCTTTACTTGTGTCCCTCAGAGATGCCACCCCAGCAGGAGAAAGAACGGTTGGGATTGCAGTTGTAGCAAGTACACTCCATCAGAGGGAGAATTTATCATGGAAAAGTTGTTTGATTTTTTGGCAGTTTTGGTTTGGGTTTTTCCTCTCCAAAATGGAGAGCCTATTAAAGGTAGAGACATGTACAAACTGCTCCTTGGGCTCCCCACCAGGTAAAATGGAAAGCTGAGCCCGGTTCCACACTGGAAGTGCTGGTGGAGCGTGTTGGCATCGCATTTTCTTTGCTCACGTGGCTCCATCATACGTTTTGAATAATAGATGGTTTGCATGCAAGGAGTTGTTGGGGTTTTTAATTAATCAGTAGATCCCAGTTTGGCAGAGCCCATCATCACTGGGGAAA